TACTTAATCTGCAGTTTTTCAAGATTTTTACTTGAAGTACTATATCGAAAAGGAGCTAGAGAGAATATCTCTAAAAGGAACACAACATTTTTATTAATTTTTAATTTGAAATTTTAAGTTTGTATCGTCTAAGGAATGGAGAGTACAAAGTTATTCTTCTTTCTTCTTATTGAAGAAAGTTATGCCAAAGAAGCCTCACAAGCAAAACCAGCACTATCTTCTACCACAATGGAAGTTGTCCAAATGGAATCACCAAAGTAGGGAATATCAGCAGAGTAGATGTTATATATCGTTAAATGAAAAATATGCAAGATTTTTAAGGATGTCCTACCGAATGGACATATTGTTTTAATAAGCTCAACTGATATAAATACGTAATGATTTCTTACTTAGTTCTTAATTACTTTGATTGGATTTAGAATAATTTTGAAACTGATAAAATAAAAGATTAGAACGCATCTAGACTAAATACCGCCGTAATATTCAATAACATCATTGCCTTAAATTTATAGTTTATAGTATTTATAGGTCTCATAAAGTGAATTTACCATAAGATAATGCGTACTATATTGTATTTAAAAAATCTTTTTAAATTTTATTTTATTTGATTTTATGTATTTAATTGAATAGAAATTGTAAAAAATATCTCTCATAAAATTTCATATTTGTCAAATACAAACTCTTTCAATAAATTTCAATGAATTTGCGGAAAAAATTACGTTTTATGTTTGTTGTAGAAAATTGAGTATCTAGTGTAAATTTATTGTTTACAAAATAAAATTTGACACAAATAATATTTTTCATGAACAAAGTACAATAAAATATCTCATCTATAAAAATAAAAATAAAAATGTATATAAAAAAATAAAAACATTGAAATGTTTTGCATTTTTCTGAATTGGCAGGTTTTATTCTGTTTTGTTTTGCTTTGAAAAAATAATCAAAGACCAACAAACAATGAATATAAAAAACATTGGGAATATTAGAAAAAATTGTGAGACAAATTTATTTAAACAAAATCTCAAAACTAAATAAAAATAATTAAATTTATAAAACAAACAAAAATAAATAAATAAAACGAATTATTGCGATATTTTAATTCGTTTGTATTTACATGAAAGTACATCTGCAAATAATTGCAGAAGTAAACATTCAATGGATTTATTTATTTTTCTATTTATTTTTTGATATCAAAACAGAATAGTGAATTATTTTAATACAATTCTAAATTAATAAAAAATTTTTTTGTCTGGGTGAAATATACTATAAGTAATTAGAGGACTTTTGTCTCTTGGCACATATTGAATCAAATTATATTTACTATATTTTATTTTATTTTTTTTTTAAATGCCTTTGAATGAAACAATGCAATGACTTATAATAATATTTATTTATATATACATTTTGTATATAGAATTTATTTTTTCTTATTATTTTCAGGAAGTTTCAGTATGGATGGTAAGTTATTGCAAGTAATTTATTATATTATTTTGTTATTTAAATTAAGTTAAATATTTTTGAGTAATAAAATATTTTCATTCATTTAATTATTTAATTAATTTATTAATGTCAAGCAAGGTCCTGTGCACTTAGCTACGCCAAAAATATATAATTAATTTTATACATAATTTTTTGAATTTAAAATTCTAAAAACAAAATAATCATAATATTAATGAAATTATATTCAACCAAGTGGAACAGTTTTTTATTCCAGCAAATATAGGGACTAAAGCTAGCTTTCACTTTAAATTTTTCACTTTGAGTTGCTTTAAATATAATATGGGGGTTCGCCTTTGTAACGTTCTTTTTTTCTTAATTAAAATGAAGGGTTCCCAACACTGGTAATCAGTTGATTTCAACGATGCTCACCTACTGGGTTCTGTTTTAATTTTGCTATTTTTTTTTTTGCACAATGATTTTAATCGTGACCGCAGTTCGCTCACTGACTGAATTCGTAAAGGTCGTCCAAAATCAGTTGTTGTCAAAAGACATTGATGCTGTACAAAAACTGATATCCATAATACAAGTTCGTCATCTGACGTACTGTGAGATTGAGAGAACCCTAGGTATTAGCATAGAGTCCACCAGTATATATAAAATACTCCGCGATCTTTTGGTCATGAGAAAGGTTTGTTCACGTTGGATCTTCTAAGATTTGAAAAAATTTAAGAAAGATGCTCGTGTCAATTGGTTGTGTAAACGTATAATCGTTATAAAATTGTGACAGGTGACGAATCATGGATATATGCGCATAAGCCGAAACGTAAATAGCAGTCGTCTTTATGGGTGTTTTAAATAATTGAAATCCAACAAAAGTTGTTTGCGCTCGGAGCATTTTGTCATGTGGCAACTATACGGATGTTATACAATCATTTGTTTACCGGAAGTCTGCAGTCAAATACCGAAAACAATCAAACCGATCAATCTCCACACATCTCGTCTAACAACTGAATATTTAAACATTCAAAAAATCTAATTAATGGGTCAACCGCAGTATAGTATTGATTTGGCAATCAATAACTTCTTTTTTGGTAATCAATAAATTGCGTGGACAACGATTTTTGTCGGTGGAAGAAGCCGACACCTAAAACTATGTTTTGGAGGTGTCTGAAGATTAGAAAAAATGGTTCGAACGCCTGCAAAATTTATTAACCATATTCGTAAAGAGGAATATTTCGAGAAGCAATAAAGCAATTTTCAACAACATGTTAGTACTGTTTCAGTATTGAGCTAATTGTACATAGTTCCTCGTACTATGTACAATTATGTTTCTGATTAGTTCCATTTTACTTGCGGTGGACAAAAGAAACTATTTTCTTATTAGAAATTATTGTTCAAAAGATTGTTTTAAACAGTAGTGAATTACAGCAATATTCTTGTAGATGTCGCACTTATTCTTGTTAGCAAGATCCTTGCTGAGAATATTCAATTAAAATTGGAAAAGGCAATAAACTGCAGTAGAATATTTCACAAAATGGAAAATCCTTGCAAATGACAGCAAAACTTAAGAAATTTATATTATCAAAATAAAAGCCTTTCTTCTTATTACAAAATTCTATAATATTCAATAATAATTATATATTGATTTCTCTTATTGGTTCTTATTGTTGCATTTTTGATATGAATTCATAATTATCCTTTTTTTAATTAAGTATTATAATTGTGTAGAGTTATATATTAATACAAGAGTTGCAAATGATATAGTACTATTAGTGTATAGCCTGTATGACAAGCACTATTTAATAGATATGATAAATCAAAAGAGAAACCTATTTGGATCTAATATAAATCTGCAAAAAATAAAAATCAATGATCGTTGAAATTATTTATAGCCCTATTAAGTGTTAAGAATGCTTTTGTGAACGCAACTTTATTGGGAAGAATTATTGATAGAACTATGTCTTCATAAGTTTATAATAAAAGTATAATAGAAATTAATTTTATTATGGAAATAAAAAAGTTATTTTATGGATCAAAAGTTATGGATCAGATATTTTAAAAAATTATATGGCCTTCCTTTTAAACCGCTTATCCACTATTGACTGTTAGCGTATCTAGTCTGCTGTTAGAATTTTGTATTGAATCCGGATATGAAATTAAATTGTCGCATCGAGATAACCAGAAATGCTTTCATCAAATTTATGAAAATTATAACTAAGACATATCTTGAATACACCATGTGGAAATGCATGAAATGTAATTATGTGTCATAAATATGATACGTGAATGTTATATTTTCACCATATTACTGTACGGAGTAGAAGCATGGACACTAAAAGTTGCGACAATAAACAAAATAGAAACTTTTGAAAAGAAGAGCTAACGCCGTTTACTAAATGATCATGTAACAAATGAAAAAATTCTAAGACATCGTCAAAAAGTGTGAGAACTGCTTATAAACAGCTTATTTGAAGTATCTGCCTATATATGAGGTACTACAAACGATACTATAGGCACGAATAGCAGAAAAATGCGGCATAGGACATCATGGGTTACAAATAACTGTTAATTGACCGGAACCAATGAATAAGTTCTAAGACATTGTTGAGAAATGCAAAAACTAATTCATAACTAATTCATAATTCTTAAGCATAGAAGAATAGAAGAAAAAGGACGGTATACAATGCAGATGCATGCAGATGTTGTGGCTTAGAAACAATTGTGGAAGTACTGGACTAAGAATAATTGGGAAATTTACTTATACGGCCCAAGACAGTATGGTGTACTTAAATTTTATTAGAAATGTAATTGTTGCCTTTTTTTTATTTTATCTTTGTATCTCATATGTTATATTTCTGTTCGTCTACTATGCTTTTTTATATTTATGCAAAATGAATTAATAAGTTTAGACGATTTAGAAGGAAGAATATAATAATTTTATTAAGTATCTGATCCTTAAGTTTCGTTCCATAAAGTTTTGTATTCCCATAAACGTAATTTAATTCAATTTTATCTATTATAAACCTACGAAAACATCTTTTTATAAATAATTTCTCTCAATAAAATTGTGTTTGTAACTTTTTGAAGTAATTTAAGTTTGCTTACATTTAGTTAATTTTAATTTTTATTGTGGCCGGAAATGTCAGAACCGAACCTATTTTTAAAAATATTAAATCGATGCAATAAAATCTTTTCAATTTGCGTTACTGTAAACACAATATAAAATGGTGATTTTATTACATTGCACTACAACGAACTCTGACGAAATCGCAATAGGAATTGTCTGTGAAAATAACACAAATGAGTTTTAATTATATTTTCTATGAAATCAGAAATCGACAAATAAAGTGTGACGAAATCACGGAAAAACAGAGTTTCCAAAAATTCAAGAGAATTTCATTCAAACAACAGAATGAAAAGATTTTCTTCCTGAATGTGTGAATGATTAATGGTAGTGTTTGTGCAATTAAAACCGAATGTGGTTGTTCGGTGTTTATGCACACAAACGAAACTAAATAAACAATTCAGTGAAATTTATTAAATTTATTCATAAGCCTTACCAGTTTGTGCGGTACTGCCTTGGAATAGACTGCGCAAATAGCTTATGAACCGTCGATGCAGTGGTCGATGTCGATGACGTGATGCCTTGCGGGTCTGCCCCTGTTCAACATCGTCGGACTTCCCACATTGCGTGTCATCGACAACTATTTCAATGCTACGCTGTGAGTTGGATAATGCCTTCCGCGAATTCGCTGCGTTAACTATTAATGCATCACTGCAACCGGGTCCAGAACCGCTGACACTAACTACATTTCCAACGTTGATGCTGTTTGTGCTTTTGGATTGGGGCTGCCGTTGTATGACCGCTCGACTAGTGCTTGCGGCACATGCGTCGGTCACAGTGTTGCCGTTACTGCCGCGATAGATTAATTCATTTTCATTCGAAACTTGCCTCAGTGCATGTAGGCCAGTGTGTGAAGCGCTTGTTGTAATTGTGTTGTTACCAATACCACTCGAACCATTGAGACCAGTGTAATAAGCACTTGTAGGTCGCTGTGAGTGCTGCACTTGTGGTCCAGCCATTTTACAGTGCACGCGGGGAGTGTCAAACGGGTTTTTACTTGCAATTCACTTACAATAAATTTACTTAAGTATTAATGGAACACAATTGCTTTTTATCTGTGAGATATTTTGCAACTACAAATTTTACTACTATTTTTCTTAATTGATGCTAATACTACTACCACTACTACTTTTTACATTTTTGCTAACTTTTTGCTGTCGTGCGCTACGTCGAGACGAAATTCAACGCAGTTTCTTCGAGGGTCGAAAATTTTCTTTATTTTCCTTTAAGTACAGCGACTTCAGTTGCATTTTGAATTAAAATTGGCTGCATAAGTTTTCACACAATATTTTTTCCACACATATTCTGGACTTGGACTGGTAAATTGTTAAATTAAATTTTATTTGGCACAGTTTACGAACATAAATAATTTTCCAAAACATAAAATTAATTTTAGTTTGCGGTTTAATTATCAAATTATGGATTGTTTTATTTAGTGTTATTTTAGTCACTTCTAAACTCTTATCTATTTTACTGAGTTTACTGAGTTTTTTATTGTTTGGTTTATTTCGTTAGCTTTTAAGTAGCAGCGGCAGTAATTTTAGTAACACTTTAGTGCATTTTGGCATTCACACGGAAGCGATTCAGCAACATTTAGCAGTCGTCAGCAAATAATGGCGCAATTGCTTTAGTTTGCTTTGATTTTGTTTTGTTAGATAATCTGCAAAAGAGAACAAAACAAAACTTCAGTCAAACTTTTTTGTTAAGAAGCCATCATATCTACATATAATTAATTAGTTTTTGCTTAAATTAGTAATTAGTAAATGTTTTAGTATGAATTAGTGAAATTAGTTATACATTGACTAAAGAAACATAAAATAAAGCTCTTAATACACAAACACATTCATACGATCTGAAGCACACATAGGTACACATCTAACATGCATTAATAATACTTATCTGATATAGTATAATAGCATAATATATGATATAATTAATATAAAGTTTTAATATTTCAACAGCTATTGCAGTTGTCTTAGTCAATAATAATATCGACTTAAGAGAACACCCCAAATATGGATACAAACTATCATAATATCATACCATAAATAGCACACAAGATGACAACATTGTTGTTGCAAATTCGTTAATTTTTTGTACTTGCCTTGTTGTTTCTTATTTATTTGTGTTTATACATTGCAAAATATAATGGTAGTAGAACAATAATGGGTCCATAAAAATAATAGTAGACTAAGGCATTTCTGCAAAATACCTCAATGTAGAAGTTTAAAATATTAATAAAAAATTTGTATAAAAAACTTAAAAAAATTGTATACGTAATATATTTGCAAAATATTATTTGTTTTTTTTTGCAAATATTCCTAACATTTCATTAATTAGTTGGACTCTCAATCATACATATAAGAAGTAATGGGTTATATTCTTTATTTAACAAACAACATATTTTGCAAAAATGACTTTAAGGAGAAACAATTGTTGTTATTTATTTGAAACCTATTTTATTATACAGAATTTACAAATATTATTATGATTTATGTGACTTTAAGTAAGGTGAAGTAGAGTTAGCAGCACAGAGAAGTTAGTTTATAATAAACCGCGACGTAAAACAGACGATCTATGTCGATAGGGGTTAGTATTCCGTACAATATTCTATACCCCATAATTCGCATAGTGTCTAAAAGGACATATTGTAAATTTAAGCACAAACTTTATTGAGAATCAGCAACAAAAATTCCTACATGTATTACAGCATAAATCTTTTGAGCATTGTATTAATTCCATTGAATTAATAGATAGCTAGAACACTGCCTTGCAGGAATTGTAGGTCTCATACTAGAAAAAAGTCTGGCATTTTCTTTTTAAAGATTTTTTCAAATAAGACGTAAACTTAATGAGTCAGATTTCAAAAGAGAGGTAATGGTAAGCTTATTTGAACAATCAAAGAGAATGTACTTGACTCATATTAGGAATGCCTCAGAACTACTGCGAAACTACTATTCATATACCGGTGCACCGAATTTTTTGGTTATTAGTTTTAGTCACCGTAATATGAGTTGGAAAGGTTTAAGAACCTAAACCCTCTACTACTTTATATTAACAAAATTCATATATCTTTTTTTGCTGTAAATAAAAAAGTGTATAAATGCATAACTATACAATATAAGAGGGTGTTCAGACTTGACAAGATCGCGGGCCCGTACAAATCACTGAATAGGGTGAAGAGTCGTAGAAATTCATGTGTATGTTTATAATTTGTCTGGAGAAATATAAAAATACTACGATAATGTTAAATTTAGATTTATTAGTTCTTCATTTATTTATCTTTTACAATTCTATCATTATCAGCCTTATTAATATTAGTTGTTGCCATACGAAAAATATTTTATTTTTAATGTAATAACTTATGGCACTGAATACGAGTTTTTGAACCAGTTGCACAAAGAAATATGTACTAAACTCTTTGTCAATTATATAAATTAACGTGAAGTGTAATAAATTATTTAAAACAATTTAATTCATTTATTTGGAATACCATAAAAATAATATAAAGTTATATTACTAAAATATAACGAACTAAATTTTGCCTAATTGTTGTAAATTGTCTCGGGCCGCACAAATATTAGCCGCATGTGGCTCATGGACCATGCTTTGAACAGCTCTGCTGTATAGAATATAATAATAGTGTATATTTTATAAATACCTATAAAAATATATAATATATTATAATTATTATTTTTTATAACTATAATTATAATAATAATTATTAATTTTAATATAAATTATTTATTATATAGTTATCAATAATTATTATAATTATTATTACTTTTTATTTTACATAATATATATAATATTTATATACATATAGTTCTTATATATATAAATACTATTATTTTAAATTTATATCTTCTAAAACTTACTTTATAAATCCTGAAGAGGTGTAATATAATCAATATCTTCAAGTAATTATTATTGCTATTTGAGGTAGTCAAGCTAAAGAATTTCTATACTATAATACAATTACTACTTTCTCAAAAAATTTTATAAAAATCTAGTCAAATGGCTAAAGATTATTTATTTGCAAGTAAATTACAACAGTTAAACTCCAAAAAAAACAATCGTTAGTAAATATTAAAATCTTCGAAGTAATAATTTGTTTATTAAGAGAAACTATCCCGATTGTATATTTTCTTAAACAGTTTTAATCTGATATTAAACATTTGTTAATTGTTTGTATTTTTAGTGCCATAATATGTCGATTTCGCTGTTTACAAAATAAATAAAGTGCGTCTAATATTGCGCAGCACTTGTAGCCGAAACGCCTAATATCTGGAAAGTAAAAATATGCTTTGATCTGCAAGATCTACATGACTAAAAATACTAAAAATAAAAATAAAATCTTTAAAATATTCTCCAAACGCACAGTGCAATTAGATTATTGTCTGCCAGCACCTTTGCAGTTATTTTATTTGTTCTCTTCTAATAGGAAAAGTGCGTCACGGCATAGACGTGTCGGTTCCACATGGTTTGCAATTCTGTCGAAATGCAGGCTGTCAGAAGTGGTGCGAAAAGCGGCACGTTCGCTGTCCGATAGCTCACCGATTTACGATTTATAAATAAAATTCACATTTGTACAACAACTAATTAAATCAAATAAAACCGCTGTAGTTTTAATGTTAAAATTATTCTAAATAAATTTCGGTACTCTCCGCTTTTACCTTTCATTATTTATGCAATTTTTTGCATCATTTGATTTTCTTTCACTTTTCTCCTCAGCTTTTTGTACTCAACTGACTGCATAAATTGCTTTCTTCTGCGTTTCTCGGTTGAGAACGAAACTTTGCATCATAAATTTTTCGCCTTAACGTTGCACTTTTTATTCGCAAAATAAAAAGTGCAAGGTTTTTTTGTCAATTTTTTAATCAAAAACTTATGCTGAAAAATGTGAAAACTTTTTCCGAAAGTTGTTTTATGCAAAACATTTATATTTCAATCTTATAAAAATAACAGTGCAGAGTGAAGTGAGTCGGAATGGTGCTCTTTTATTAACAAATTGAAAATGATTTCGTTCGTGATGAATATGCAATTCAGTTCTCATGAAAAAGTCATTTTCGCCAATTTTTCATTTTTTTGTGGAACTGATATTTGCACGCATTTTTACCCAGAGTTTTTATTTCAGTTTCTAGTAAATTTTAATAAAATTCACATATTTGCAATAAATTGTGAAGAAAGTTGTTAAATTTTTGATTATTTTTATAACTTCCGCAATATATATATATATAATGCGATATATAGTTTATATATTCTTTTTATTGAAACGGAAATAGTCAAACGTAACATAAAAACATCTCATAAAAACTCATATAATGATGTATGTACATAAAAATATTGTTATAAAATGTTAATATCATTTTAAAATTTTATTTTATAACTTGAATCATATAAAATAATGTTTGAAATATGTTATTTTAAAGCTTAAAAGGAAGTAATTTCTTTTCATTCACTTAGTACTAAAAGCGGAAACAGAAATGTTTTATTGGCACAATATACTATAATTTCGCATTCAAAATCGTTTATAGGGACTTTCAATCTAATACCCTGTTTTCACTTGTCTCATTTATGCAGTTATTATCATTAAAACCACTAGTGAGGTTAATTTACCACACAAAGTGCTTTCATCTAAATGAGCTCATTACAAATAAATCAACAGTTTTAAGACAATAAATATCGAACACAACCCTCAAAAACAAATTTCCCAAAAGGGAAATTAACAAAATTGTAAATATTTCTCATAAGTTCTATATGTAAAATGTAAACAAACAAGCTATTTTACATGCATAAATCAGCTTATGCCAATGGAAACGATCATTCAATTTCATTAACATAAGTAGTTTTAGCTGTAGTGGAAACATAATATAAAGTAATTTAAGCATTTTGTGTAACTAAATAAAAATAATTTAAATAATCATTATAAGAATTCTGAATTATTAGTTTACAAAAGTGCTAACTTACTGTAATGAGACTTATAAGATTTGTAGTGCACAAAGTGACATTTCAAAGGATGTGCTAAGACTATGACCCGCACTGATATATAAACGGAAGGAATACTTAGGTTTGCCCCTCTCATATAATATAAAAAGATGAATACTCGGTAAAATGGATTGAATAGTACAAATCACAGTTTATTCAGAAAATCGAACTAAAAGAAATACTATAGATCCATTTTACGGGCACAATAGATTCTTCACCTTAATTTTATATGTTAATAGTTTTAGTACTTCCTGAACAAACACTTATTATATGCATTTGTATGAATATAAAATATATTTTTAATTATTGAAACATATGAGGTTTCAAACATACAAAATGTTAGATGGATTTTTTTTTATTTTCTCATTATATTTTGTATTAGCACTTATTGGATTATTGTTTATTCTTTCAAATCATCGATTTTTCCTTTTTTTTTTGGTGCTGTTAGCTGCATTTTTATTATTTCGTTTTTATTTTTTTTTTGTTTGATTTTAATTTTATTTATTTTGTTTTTTACCGTTGCTTATGATAATAAAGCACGAATAAAGTGAAAGGGTTTTACTTTTCTCATGAAGGGACTATTTCTCATGCAGTGATGTACTAAATGGAAACCCTTGTGTGCCGGGTGTGCTCAAAATTTACTAAAAACGACCACGACTTCGT